AAAAGTTCCGTACCATCATCACCTATGTTGGCAACACTGTTTATATTATATATTCTAGGATTTTTAGTATTGAGGAGAAGAAATGCTAACTCGATTCCTCCTCCGTCCCTTGATTAAATCGAAAAAAAAAAAAAGGATTTTTAGTATTTGTTGTTATAGAATCCACGGAAATACATAATCTGTGTAAATTTCAACTTTCTAATTTTCATGGTTCATGAGATACAGCCTAGTGACAGAAGGACGGACGGACGAACAGCGGAGCCTTAGTAATAGGCATCCGTTTTACCGAACGGAACCTAAAAAGGTGTGATGGGCGCAAATAGGTTGCACTGAAGAAGCCTATTAATTATTATAGATAACAATAATGAACCAATGAGTGATGTGATGATATGGTATTTAAGTATAAGTATAGATGTATAATACATTTTAAATATAATTAAAGGGTTCTATACGTTTGTAAATAGATAGGTTGTAGGTAGCATCCCTCATCAATCATCAGTCATCATGTCATTGTGATATTATTATTAGCCCGACTCCTGTGAACTATGTATGGTGTGTAAAGTGGTGTGAATAACTCACATCGCCTCGCGAATACCGACGAGCTACGCGGTATGAATGTGATGTGTATATATAAACTGTATTTATGTTAATGTGTACTTATAGACTAATACCGGACGGGTAACTGAAATGATACATTATTATAAGCAAGGTTTGTATCAGACATTGATGAATTAGACATACAAAATATGTTGATAACATGGATGAAAACATTGAAGACAAATAACTGTAAATCGTGGTTGGAGGAACTTCAATTTCAGATTTGTACTGCTAATGAAAAATAGGCATTAAAAGATACATGGCCATGTTGGGCACTGATGTGAAAATTGGTTTGTAATATTATTTCTACTTAATCGTAATAACTGCAATGTAATAATTGGGTATAATGGGTTTAATATTTTATTATATTAAGTACACCTATATTATTAGCTTCGAATAATTGGGATGTCAATTGATCCGGACAAAATTATGCCGGCCCAGCGCTATGTCACGATTTATGAAATTGTTGGCGACTTTCAAACTGGGCAATCTGATGAACGGTGACGTGATCATGGGGTGGACCAGAATATACAAAAATGTAGGTGTGTCGGCTGTATGTATGATAAAGTCCTGTAAGCTAGTGGGAATGACAATACTTAGCCCCTAAAATGCTGTTACATATTAATAAAAAAACGAGGAATGATTAAAAAATGTCAACGGAATTGGCCTAAAAATCTGAAAATGTGCTCATGAACAGATAACTTCTCAACGTAATATTATGACCGGTCCAATAATAACTTTCCGTAGGTACATCAGACCGATGTGCGACGGCTGCTCACCAACGTATTGACATCCACCAGATGACTTTGTTAAGTTTTCAAACTGTACCGTTCATTCTTGCAGAATGCTAAAGAAAATTAATTTATTAGATAAATATTATTATTAATTTAATTTATAATAATTAATTTAGACGTTTTCAACTTACAGTTATGCACTTATGCAGATAGATGTCGACCGGTTTGGGAGCGATGTCTGTCACGGCATTGTTCTAATGAATTCAAACGTAAATAATACATTATTGTAATATTGTTATACACGGTCAGGTATATTACATTTATTAAGTAGGTACTATATTAATATAGTCTATTAATTATTTTTTTACTACGCTTTTATTGTATTAAATACACAATGTTTTATAACTTACATTATTGGATCGGACATACAGCAACGTCGAGTTGACAGGTACCTGTCCATAAACACATCTTCGATTTCTTGAAGGCCGGCACCAACTCCGTTGCACATTTTCCAACACTATTGTCGACTATTATCAAAAACAAGTGTGAATTATATAATAATAATTGTAATTTTATACTCGTCGCCGCCGTACTATCCCGGGTTTTTGTCATTATAATAATATTATTGTTGCATCAAATGAGGTCGTAATATCGTTCTTCCGCAAACAACCGTGCGTCTTAACGTGATCATATTGTATAGTTAATTTGATTGTCTTTTTCATGTATAACTGTGATCTGGTTCAAATATCCGTCTATTGTCATTGTTTTTAGATTCTGAGCGGAGCGATGAATGTATTGGTTTTACAATGATGTATGTTTTTTTTTATATTTTTATATTTTTATTTATATTTTTGTGTCTGTCATCACGTTTTGGGACAGTAAAAGTGCTTCGATTTTCTTCAATAGTACCTTTTCTGATAGGAAAGTGAATCTAGTTGGTACTTTGGGGGGTCAAAAGTAAACATTTTCCAGTAGTTTTCACAAGCGCCGGGAAAAAACAACATAAAAATTAAGGAAAAACGGGAATTTTTACGCAAAATCGATTTTCCAAAAAATCGAATTTGGTTATTGGTGTAACTTTAAAACAAATGACCGTAGATACATGAAATTTTCACTGGTTGTTTATATTTGCATTTTCTATACACGATAACATTTTCAAAATATTTTGATTTATTTTGAACTGTTTAGGGACATTTTCATTTTTCATTTTTTTTTAGTTTTTTTTCTAGAAATATCAATAAAATTTTATTTGTTGGTTGCGAAAGCTTGAAAATTTAATAGAAGGCTCCTAATATGTTGTTTCAAAGGCAGATGAAAAATATTAAAAATCCTTAGTCACAATTTTTTTTTATAAGCATTTAAAGTTCAAAAATTGACAAAATATGGAAAAATCACGAAAATTAGCAAATTATTTTGAGTTAAGAATTCGTAAAAATTTTTCTTTTTAAATCTAAGATTTGAAAATGAAACACAAGATTCCTTATAAGATTATCTACCTTTATCAATAAAAAAATCTCTACCGGACAGTCAAATTAAATTTTTATGAGCGTTTGAAATTCAAATTTTTACAACATTGGATTTTCACTCGATTTCTCATGTAGCGATTTCCTTATTTTGTTGTAATTCAAAAACGAATAACTGTAGATACATGAAAATTTCACTGAATGTTTATATTAGCATTTCCTATACACCATACAATTTTGAAAATATTTTGACTCTTTTTGAGCTGTTTATGGACATTTACAGCTTTCAATTTTTTTTAGTTTTTTTTTCTATAAATATCAATAAAGTTTTATCTGTTGGGCCAAAAAGTGTAAAAATTTAATACAAGGCTCCTGATATATTGTTACAATATCAGTTGAAAAATATTAAAAATACATAGGCACGATTTTTTTTTATAAGCATTTAAAGTTGGAATTTTGACAAAATTTATCAAAATCTCGAAAATAATCAATCGTTGGAATTAAAAAATTATAAAATGTTCAGTTTTTATAACTAAGAGTTGAAAATTTAAAACAAAGATTCTCTTAAATAATTCATACTGTAACCAAAAAATCTAAAAAATATATAAACACACTTATTTTTTACAGACATTTTAATTTCAAGTTTAGACAAAATTTCATATTTAAACCAAGAATTACGATTTTAGTTATTTTGTTGTGATTGTATAATATTATTCGTGGGTACTTGAAATTTCTTAAGTAATCTACTATATATATCTATGATAGTATCAGGGTTTGTTGTTGGTGTATAACGCGTTATAAGTACCTAATGGATATTGTGATATGATTAATTTGGAATTCATTATAGGTCAATTTTTTTTAATACCATAGATATGTATATAATATGTCTTTTACCTAGAAGGACATACCGTCTCCGCTCAGAATCGTTTTTCTTATACAATGATATTATATCATTGAATTCAAATTTAATACCATCCATTATACAATGACCCACTTGTAACCTACTGTACAGCAGAGCGACACCCACTTTTTTTTTTTGGAATCGAATTTTGTCGGAAACTTATTTTGTTGGAATTTATTTTTTCGGAAAATATTTTGTCAGAAACGTATTTTATCGGTATCGAATTTCTTCGGAACCGTATTTTGTCGGAAAAATATTTTGTCGTAACCACAATCTGACGGAACCGTATTTGGTCAAAACCGTATTTTGTTTGAAAAATAATAATTTGGAAAGCATTTTAATGGAACCATATTTTGTTGGAAAAACGTATTTTTTCGGTATGTACCTAAATCTATTTTACTGTATTTTAATGTTAATTATTTGATATTCCTACCTTAAAAATGTATAAATTAGTATACAGTGAAACGTCTGAATTGTGGACACCCTCAGTCGTCAAATTTTTGGGAATGAGGAGCTGCAGCTGCGTTGTCTACAAAAAAAAACACTTTTATACTTTAAAGCCACCAAGTTGAATCTTTAAAGTCATTGAATCCATTATCTATAAATGATTAAAATTAGTGAAAATGTCCCCGTTCCCAAAAAAACGTCCACTTTTAGGAGGTTTTCTTTAGAGGAGGTTTCACTGAATAGTGAACGTCATGACTCATGGAACTTATTACATATACCTAAGCATTTTTCGTTGAATTATTTTAAAAATAAGAAAAAAACAATTAGGGAAACAAGTACCTATATATTTGTTATGTATTGTCGTACTAAAAACGTATATTATATATAGGTTATTAACCCTTTGAGTGCCATAGACGCATATATGCGTCCACCATACAACAACCGTCAAGTGCCATGGACGCATATATCCGTCTTTGCTTGTTAAAATCATTTTCTGCTGTTATCAATACTTAAATGTATACCAATAGATTGCAAATTCAAAGACGAATCCAAAGACGTTTAGTAAAACAATATCGGATAAATAGCAATGAAGTTATAAGTGAATTAATTATTTTGTCTTTTCAGTGATAACCAAAATGTGTTGTTTATCAATTTTTCATAATAACGTTATATTTTTCTAATGTTTATGTTTGTTTGAGAGTTGAGGTGAACGGTTATATTATAGTAATTAATATAGTACTTTTTATTCGATCCCTTTGTATTTCGTAATAGTTTCACTGACTCACGTATAATATATTGTGTTTATAATATATGACATTAGTGAGTTGTTTATAATATTTGAAGAATAATCAACTGAAAATGATATCAGATGAGGACATATTATTCCACTTAGATGAACTTATTGCAAATGAAGAATCAGAAGATGAATTTATAGATGATATAAATTTTGATATTGATCATAATGATTATAATGATGGTATGTATGTTATATATTGTATATATACATAGTTTTTATGTATTACCATATAATTTGATATATTAGTTGGTTGATGTAAAAACACTGTTATGTATTTACATGTGTTTTATTTTGAATCATGTATTTATACATAAAAAATGTTTAACAGATATTGAGGTGACTGAGCTGGAGGTTACAGATTTGCCGTCTCCTGATCATTCTCCAATAGTCCGAAGTAAAATAGCACCAGTTAGGCGAGTAAAAAAAGTACCATTACAGACACCAAATTTTAAATGGAAAACTAAAGGAAACTTTAGGCCAAAAGAACATTATTTTGATTCATCCAAGGTAAATACTTTTAGCCTGTTGAATTATGTATGATAAAGAACTAATCTATTATAACTAGATCACATAACTTACAATTGTTATGTCTTTTTTTTTTTAGTGTGGAGTTCAAACTCATGAATTTTGTTTGAATAGCAACTCAAGTAAACTAGAGTTTTTTGAAGCATTTGTTTCTGAATTTTTACTTGGCAAAGTTGTATTTGAGACTAATAGGTATGCTGAACAATATATACAATCTAATGAAATCTCACATCAGTCTAGGGTGAATGCTTGGAAGGATACAAATGTTGGTGAGATGTATACATTTTTAGCAACTATTATATTGATGTCAAGAAATAAAAAACTCGATATGAAAGACTACTGGTCTACTGACCCATTACTGAGCTCACCAATTTTCAGACAAATAATGTCTAGAAACAGATACTTGTTACTACATCAAATGCTTCATTTCTGTAACAATGAGAATCAAGAAAAAGGAAACCGTCTATTCAAATTAGATGTTGTATTAGATGAAATTCGCACAATTTTTAAGGCTGGAATGGTGCCTTTTCAAAATATAGTGATTGATGAAAGCTTAGTCCTCTGGAAAGGTAGACTAAGCTTTAAGCAATTTATAAAAACAAAGAGGCATCGTTTTGGAATAAAATTATTTGTCCTCTGTGATGTTGAAACTGACTTCATCCTTGATTTCATTATATGAGCTACTGGAGCTGAAACAAGATTACTTCCATATGATGCAAATATTGGCATATCAGGAGCTGTTGTAAAAACTCTTATTGCATCATACTTAAACAAAGGGTACAACTTGTATACTGATAATTGGTATACTTCCCCAATATTAGCTCAGTATTTATACAAAAAAAAAAAAACATAATAACAGGAACAGTAAGAAAAAACAGACGAGGAATGCCTGAATTAAAAAATAAATTAGCTGTTGGAGATGTACAAAGTGCTCATACAAAAAGTATTATGGTTTTGAAATAGGTTGACAGAAGAGAGGTATTTATGTTATCTACCAAGTTTTATAGTAAACTAGATGACTCTGGCAAGTTCGACCGTAAAGGTAATCTTGTAAAAAAACCAATTTGTGTAATTAATTAAAATCAATGTATGGGTAGCATTGATAAGACGGATATGCTACTAAGTTCAGTAGAATGTGTTAGGAAGACCAGCAAATGGTACAAAAAAATATTTTTTCATCTCATTGATTTAAGCATTTTAAATGCATTCTCAGCTTTTAAAACAGTCACTGGACAGAATATGCCAGTTGCAAATTTCCAACTTGAAGTAATTAGACAACTATTAGAAAAATATGGTGGAAATACAGTAAGCCCCAGAGGAAGACCATGTACAAAAGATCAACCATTTCGACTATCAGCTCGGCATTTTCCATCAGATGTAAAAAAATTAGAGTCAGGAAAAGTACAAAGGAGAAAATGCATAGTTTGTACCAGAAACAACAAAAGAAAGGATACAATGTATATGTGTCAAGAATGTGATGTCGGTCTGTGTGTTACACCATGTTTCGCCATTTACCACACTAAACAAAATTATTTGGATATACAATTATTTTAAAAATGTATAATTATAAAACTTTTGTATATTAAATTGTATATTATACAACAAGTGTAACATTATATAATTATGTTTATAATACTTAAAAATTATATTATTCATTTTTTGCAACAACATTTTATAACTAATCCGTATATCTGTATATTTTTTAAAATAATTTGTATATGATTTGAACAAAAGCAATTAACTGTTAATCATTTAATATATTCTAATTATTAAGAGAAAATCTTTTACACAGAGGACAACGCTGTCTTCCAAGTTGAGATGCACAATTTTCACACATGACCTTATGGCCACAGGGTACAGGTGCATGAGTTGCTAAACTCTCAAAACATATAACACAGAGATTTTCGTTGGGTGTTACACGATATTGTTCTATGTTCTCAGGCACTTGAACAAATGGAATTTCTTCTGCTTCTTCAAAGGGTCCATGAATATTTTCCCAAATTCGTATTTCCAAATCTTCTGGTACAATAAAGTCATTTTCATCTACAAAAGATTATAAATTAATATAAGTTAGTCTATTTTTTCTGGATATATTTTGTCAGCTAAATTTATTTCAAGACATTTTATTATTATTTACAAAAAAAAAAATAACAAGAATGGGCGATTTAATGTTTTTAAACTAGGTATTTTAAGTCATAAGTTAAATTAAATGATGAAAATACTAAATAGTTAGTTTTTATAAATAATTCATCATGTTAAAGAGTTATTTTAGGTAACTTGATTTCATCACATTAGGTAGGTAATAGGTATGCATTAATGCATTCATAAATTATTCTCAATATGTTTGTTTTGACTACACACCTTCACTATTGTCCTGATTTGGAGCGTTTACAATGTTTACATGTTCAACAATTGAATTTTCTACAATCTCAAGTTCTTGTTCATCTGTATTTTTTTTAAATAATAGATCAAGCAAATTAATTTTAGTTAAATTTCTAAATATTATGAATTTATGAGTTATAGGCACACAGTGATATTTATGTAGAGTGACACACCTTCTAGGACTTCGGCAATGGGAACATTAACAACTGGACCAATATCTAATACCTCAGGTTCTTCAAATAAAACTAAAATGTTATCAATAATAAACATATAAATTAGAAAAATAAAACAATATATGCAAGTGTACAATTTGGTAAGTTTTTTTTTATATTTTGGATGGTCTTTACTCTAGATTCTAGAAGATTTAATTTCAAGTACTTAATTTATTAATTCAACAAATATTAAAAGGTGAAATTTATTTCATTTATTTTTATATCATTTTTTAGGTTATTTTATTACGGTCAAAAGGTGTTTTTTAAATACAATTTTGGCTATTTCAAGGGGTCTTAATGATCATAGTCACATATATTCTATGCTATCCAAATCTGGTGCTTGAATAATTTGAATTATTAATTTATTATTATTTTTTATATTAAAATTACATTACACCAAAGAGTAGGTATTAGATTATGTGACATATGAAAACAGAGTACCAAATCCATATTATACAAATTGTGGTATGTATATAATTTATTATCATTACGTATAATGTCATTATACTACAGCTTAAAAGGTTATGAACTTATGAATTTACATTTGCATTATAAGCAGGGTTGGGCAGTATTTCGATACAATTATATGAAGTATCGAGTATCTAGTATCTCGGTACTCCAAATCCAAGTATCTATAGTATCTTGCCCATCCCTGATTATAAGACCAATAGTTTTGCAGATATAAGGATATGCAGTGCAATTATTAAAGGGACTTTTACTTAATCTCCACTTTGCTCATCCAAACTTTAAAAAGGTACTTATATCCCTTAAATTATTGGTTTAAAATAAGCCTATATTGCAATCAAATTTAGAATATTAGGTTAAAATAAGCGGTTGTGACTTGTGGTTGCCGTTTAATAAAACTAAAAATCAAGCGGACAATTAACAGGAAAAATGAATATTTTTTCAAACAAATGCAATTTTAGTATTGTTTTAAATTATATATAAAAATGTTCAAACAGTTGATAAGAAGAAAAGATATTGACAAGTTGAAATTATGTTTTTTTAAATTATTTTAATATATCTACAATTAAATTATATGAAAAAATAACTTAGCTCAAGTTGGTAAATTAATGGTTGGTTTTTATATTATAACTTCAGAGTTAAAAAAATACCTAACTTTTTACATATTTATTTATAGTTTGCATATTTTTGAGGCCTTGACAAGTTTTGCCGGCGTTTATATTTTAAACGCTCATAATAAATTACTAATTAGTGTGGCTAAATGAAACTTTTTTTTAAATTCCAGTAAGAAAAACTTGTGTGGGATTTTTTCTTAAATTTGTAGCCTTAGGTTTAAAACGACCACATTTGCATTAAATTACTATCCCTTATTCCCTTGGAAATTAATCTTCCAACAAAATCTTTTTCTTAATAATTACATATTATAACTAAAATGTATTGTATAAAATTACCAAGATTAGGCAATTGCTCAACGGGTGGATCATCTTCACTAATGTTATCTAAAAATGTATGTACAATCATATTTAAAATATTAACAAATTATTCAAGTGTAAAGTATACCTAGTTTAACTCACCAATAATGTCTACAAATCTAGCCCAATTACCTTCTCTTAAGAGATAACCATCAACAACATGTGAGCATTGAACTAAAAATTCTTTCCTGGTAATAAGTCTTAGGGACAGTTTGTCAGTAGCCATCTGTATACGCTTTGAGTTAAGTATATATTTATATTTTGTGGATCTTGTTACTTGCATACCCATGGTTAGTTGATTGATTACTATGTGTTGGACTTAACTACAATCACTCAGATGACCTTAAGATTAGATAATAAATCCATAATAAATTATAAAGTTTCTTTTTTAAAATTTAAAGTAAATTATTGAAACATAAAAATTATCAGTTTTTTATATAAAATAGTATACAAATTCTAAAAAAAAACTGTATGAAAGATATTTGCTTTATATAATGCCTTCTAAAAAAAAAACCAAACAATACTTTTAGAAATATAGACTGGGAACACTTAAAAAAATATTAAATTATTAACCTAGCATTTTCCATAAATTTGGATGACACACTTGAAGTTTATCTTTCATCCTTCCGTGAAAACTTTCTATATTATTGTTTATGCGTCTAGGTTGATTGTATACAGAAAATGAGTTTGGTCCAGTTCGAATCAGCCAATGACTAAGACAAAATAAAAGTGTATTAAATTATTCAAACTATATATTTAGTCATTACCATAATATACTTACTTGGTAAAATAGTTGAAAAATCTTGTCAGGTCAACATTATTTAATCTAGCATGGTTTGTAATATCTTGAAATCCCAATTCTATTTCATTTATGGGAAGCAATGCAATTACCATAACCATTTTAATACACATTTTGGCAGTCTCGTTGTTTTTTATGTATTCTGTGTACCTTAATCTTTTAATATTTTTCCATAAGCTCTAATTAATAAATAAAAATAAATAGTTGTAATTTTAGGTATATTAATTTTAATAAATATGTACTTATACCTGTACAAAATGGAACCAACACGAAAGTAAAGTAGCATTGGGATACAAATTTGAAAATGCATTTTTCAATCCAATTTCAAAATCAGTCATTATGACTGACGGTTGAATGTTTGGAAAAATGGTTTTAAAATGATTTATAACTTTTTGGTAAGCCTCCTGTGTTTTGCTCTCCATTAAGACATAGAAAATTGGGATTTACTAAAAATTGTAAACCCGTCAAACATTAATATTAATAATATAGGGCCTGTACTTTAAGACATGACAATCTAAGTTAAGTTGATTTAAAATATTCTTACGTGATTTTGTAAAATCATATGTATTATAAATAACTGTCGGCACTTTGGCATAGATGGGACAACCTTAAAGGTCGCGTCAGCATGCAACTCTGTACTCCCATTTAATACAACTTTGTTAACAACTTCTGGACAAGCAAACATGACATGGCACTTTCCAAAGTCATCGACTATGCACCCCTGGTAAAATTGATGGTCATTACATTGAACTAAATTGTGCTGAGCATCTAATATTTCTCCAAGTGCCAGTAATGTTGAAGGCAATGCTGGAATATTTTTACGTCTAGCCATAGATAATATAAGAATGGATAGGACATGCCTATACCAGTTCCATATGAGGCCGTGTGCTTTTTTGGGGAAGAGAGAACGTAAAGAGAGAAAGACGATATGAGGCTTTTTAAGGTTATGTGCAAAACTATTTTATTAAATAATAATAACAATAACATGATAGTCAGTTATATTTAGATATTTGTCAGTTTGTATTTTGATTGTTGTGCAGGTGGTACAGGTGGTGCCTGGAAAATGGAAATTGGAAAATAATATTTTAACAAAATGAAATTATATAAATTTTATTTATTATAATTTATCAATTATCATATCAATATTTGCCTTATATAACCTTAAAAATAGTATCACTAAATTTTCATGTGATAAGTTCTTATGTCCTATCCATTCTTATATTATCTATGCGTCTAGCCAATCTCATTGACACCTCAGCAGTTGGCCAGGGATACATAGTAGCTCCATTTGGATCACTAGCAAATGAATAAAAAAGTTGAACTTTTGGTTAAACATGTTATAACATTATAAAGTATAAACTAGATACATGTACTTAAAAGTTGTTTTAAAATAATAAATTAATTATTGGTAGAACTGTGTGTTTAATTATATCAAATTGAATAAAATATAGTTGTAAAGAGTAGTACATAGAGGTATACATAGAGGTATGTTTGTATTAGTCTTTTGTTCTGATCTAGTTTATTACAAAATAATTGTATTAATAATATGATTAATAACAATTTTTAAACCTAAAATAATTCATGTATTTTGTGTAGTGATATTAATGTTACTTTGCATTTAAAACACCTAGGACACCATTAAATTATTAAATTTTTCAGGCGACCTGTCATTACCTATATCTTATTGTTGTTGTTAATTTATCAAATGATAGTACACGGATACACAGAGTAATGCATCTATCAGCTAAAAGTACTTTCTATATTTTTGACAGACACAAATTAAATTTTAGAATAAGCAAAAATAAACAGAGATTGAAAAAGTTTTCACTGAAGCAAAGCGGAAACGATACGATAGATAGATTCATTTTAAACTAGCCAGTCGGATAGTAGAGTAATAGTATAGAATCAGATTTAAAAAGAAAATATTAAAATTATAATATAGTATTAATAACCAATTCAGTGGCTTCATATCTATGGTCTCAAGTAATGCCACTGTATGGGTTGCCACAACTTGGGGTGGGAGGGCAGCAATGAGTTGTGTTTTTGATATTCAAATTTAAATTATTTATACTAATTTTACTTATAAAAAAGCAAACCTTGCAGAGAGTAGGATATATTCTGTATAATATGTATAGCTGGATCAGAAAATTATTGTATAACTAGTTATGAAAGGAACGTTTAAATTTTTAGGGAATCTATGGATTAAACTCTCTAGGACACACTTTGGTCTGTGGGTGGGTGTCTATTTGTTGGTGTTGCACGGCCTTCTAATAACTCTATATTACTATATTAGTCACTAGAAACCATAGAGTAAGAGGATTGTAAAAAGTGTTTTCAATATTATGGTCTCTTAAATTGTATTGAATTACAATAAATGATTATTAGTTAATGAAAATTATTAGATTTAATAATTGAAAATTTATTAACATACCTGATGGCTTCTTGGTCGTAAATTATCCTTAAAAGAGTGGTTTCATTTACAGCTCTCTCAATTAGTTTTTTACGGATGTTGGATATTTCGGACTTATTATTTGGATTTGGATCATGAGTGTGAGTGTTCCGACCTAATACAAATGTTCCATCTATTTTTCTTTTTAACGTGGCTTTGCAAGACACATTTGGACTGGAGCAGATGTAATAACTAAATCATTAATAAATAATAAATTACCATCATTCAATTAATTCTATACCATATTATTTTAAATGAAAATATTAACTTACTGAACACCGTTTTGAGAGCCGTTAGCTTTGTAGTAAAATTCACCGTGTTTCATTTTAAATGTTTATTAAATTTGACAAGAAAACAAGAAAACTAGAAATAATTTAAGCGGAAGAGTAAATATGTCAATTGCCAAGTAGGAATTGAAAATATAATATAATCTCCAACATGGGATAATCGGAAAATGTTGTATAAAATATTGTATGTTTACTTAATGTTGGCTATTTATAATATTTGTCTTATTTTTCATTGATTATTTATTGTTTTCACTATTTTAGGAATATACAGTGCAATACCTAATTTATTGTCCAAACAATTGCCTGCTTATCTCGCCACACTGTCGAATTTTGACTGCGCGTTATCAACTCTTCATTATCATTTGGCCAATTTCGAAAAATGATCTTATTTTTTTATTTTTTAGCCATTTTTGACGATTGTTGAGCCCTTTTTGCTTCCTTTATATTTTATTCGCCTAGCTTATGATCTGTTGAAGCTGCGGGTATGTGGTTTACATTTGTATGTCATTCGTAGTGGTCGCAATGTCAATGGCAAAAAGTACCGCCGGCCAGTCGGTCGTCGGACTTTTGTTCCGATTTGTTTCGTTTTCTTCAACTGTTTTGGCTTTTAAGACGCTGTTTATGACTGAACCGCTTATTTAACGTCTTTTAAAAACCGTTTATATGCGGTTTTCACCTTAAATCGGTTCGTAGTCTTCACAGCAATAGCCTTTATAAATAAGTAATGACGCCGGCGGGCGGCGACCGACCGTATATACGTCATGTATATACGTAATCAATATTCGCGTATGATTTAATAATTATTGACGACAAACGCTTTAATAAATATAAATTAGTAATTGTCATTAACCTTTTGTGTGTTGTATAGTGTTTAAGAATTATATAATTATACGTAGGTAGGTACATAGTTATTTATTTTTAGTATAAATATAATATATTATATAGTAAAATGTGACTAATGTACCTATAATAATAGTACCTAGTATAACTTATACAGAGATTATAAATTTTATTTTTAATATCACACAAATATTGAGTTATAATGCCACAAATGTAGAACAAAATGGAAAATATTTAATGTATCCCTCCTACAGATTTATTACTGTTACTAAAATAAACATTATTATTTATATGTAATATTATAGTATTATACCCACTTAGAACTCAACATTTTATAATTTGCAAGAAAATATACATTTGCACCACTTTACACATCATCTTTCTAGAATTACTGTTAGAAGCAATCATAATAAAATAAACAGTGAGTTTATAGTTGAAGTTAATTTTATTAAAAAATATTTAAAATATTATCAATTTTCTGAAACTCAAGATTTGTCTAGTTTGAAGGTCTGTGATCAAATTCGACGTCTTGTGTCGAGACCATAGAAGCCGTTTTTCTCCGTCTTTTGGGGTTTCAAAAGTTCATATTTGCATTTTTTCATGGTTTTCGGCAAGAACACTCTAGATTATGGGCACGGCGAGCCGTTTTTGTAGTAGGATGTTATAGAAGACATTTCGCCGTATTGATGGGTACCGAGATCGAGGTTATTCAGCTTTTGGTTCGGGAGTTATGATTTTTCGAGTATTTTTTGTACTTAAAAAATTACGTAAATACGTGTATTTTGGATTTTTGGTTTTTGATCGATCACTACAAAACTCAAGATCATAGTTTTTTAGTGTACGAGGATTCAAAAAGGGTCTATGGTCAAAGTACGTACGACCATTATTTCACCCGTAATCGGAGAAGCAAAAAGTTGAAAAACGTATTACGTGATTATTCGTATAACTATAAATAAATATAAATCGTTCCTGCGACTGTTCGGCCAAGACACTCAATACCTACACGCCTATTCATAAAAAAAAAAAGAAACAACTATATTATATATATATATATATAAGTCAGAGCTGCCGAGTATTGCCCATAGGTGATACCCTAGGCACCTCTGACTCAAAGTATATTTTGACACATACTTTGGCCAAAGGTATCTTGTGGTTTATCCTTCCCATCGTATAGAACTAGATGCTGTGATAATTTTGACATTTTTCCTGATCTGTGCAAACCAATATTTAAGGTAGTTTAGGGCGGGGAAGTGAACTGCAGGTGCGGGGGTCGGAATTTTACGTAAACGGTATCGGCAAGGCTGCATACTAGTTGCGGTCATGACGATTTTTTAGATTAACAGATATAACAGTTGCGGTTTGCAACTGTCCGATGTCCGATTTCATTAGGAAATTAACTACTATTATAGAATTATTTAGTATACTTAGTTATTATTATTTGAGTGACCGCAACTAGTATGTAACATTCTTGAGGGGTGACCGCAACTAGTACCTACGTAATTTTTGTTTTTGACCGCAACGAGTACACACCGGGCTCGTCGCCACCGAAGCTAGAAATCGATCAATAAAAAAATAAATAAAATGCAATAGAGTACAATTAATATAAATTAATATAATTACGACAAACAAGAAAGGTGAAAAACTGAAAACAATATAAAGGAAAAATGTTGCTCCTATAATATTTAGGTTAGGTAAACAGCTGCTTGATGAACGCCACGGATATAAAAACAAAAAGATATACCGCGGTTACATTATGTTATAATTGTGTGTTGCAACATTCGACCACAGTTAAGGTAAATATCATTATTATCATACATTATTTTTAAACAATTTTACTTATAGTACTTATCTATATAATCTTGTAGTTCTGAACGTTGGGTATAAAATTGTTTGTGTGACTTCTGTGATTGGTGGTATGTTGGTGTGGATGGAATGGTTCTTGTCATGGGTTCTAAAGAAAGTTGTAAATTTGAATTATTCTGTAATAGTTCATCGGTTGTAAATGAATTGTCAATGGGAGTTTTGGATAAACTTTTTAATATTGTGTTCAATAATTGTTTATAAGTTTTTAATTTTGTTGTGTATGTATTGTGTATTGTTTTGATTGTTGTTTGTTGACTTTCAGTTATTGAATTTAACATTTTTTTTATAAATACAACTTTTTGTTGAATGTTGTCCATAAGATTGTTTTCTTGTGTTTCAGGTATGCGTGGTCTTTTTGTATATTCGTATACACTGGTGGATAGCTGAAATATG